AGTTGCTTTTTGAAGGAAAATAATTCCAGAATCAACATTAAACATAAACAGGGCTTTGGTCATCAACTGATAAATATGAAACATTTCTGTGACACATTTAAACCTATTTTGGACACCGAAAATTCCTTAGTCAAAGTGTTAACTACCCCCATGGGGGGAAAAATAAGTTTAAAGTAAAAGCTTTAAATATTAAAATTTCAAATAGCTACTCTAGTCTCTTAATGACAATTTCTTTTCAAATTTCATCTCTATATATACATCTATCCATTGTGTAGGAGAAAAACAGAATTGTCATTATTATTATAATAATGTACAGTGATGTACATTCTTATTAGTAAAAACTACTATGCAATTATTACCTGTAAGTCCTTAAGGGCCCCAATTTATGGCCCATGCATGTGCACACACATGTGCATATATGTGTGTGTATATGTGTATGTGATATACATATATATAAAAACACATACCCATTGGCATGCATATACTGGGACTTATTTTAGTATTTTTTATTTGTTCTTTTTAGATATACATGACAGTAGAGTTTGATTTTGCTATTTTGTATAATTTATATGTATACATATACATGTGGTAGTATACATATATATATTACTAGGCATTGAACCCAGAGCCTTGCACATGCTAGGCAAGTGCTTCTACCGGTGAGCTACATCCTCAGCCCTCATAGTAAGTGTATTTTAAACTGTACAGTGTCACAACCTGCTCTGGGCATTATGCAGATTATTACACCCTGCTAGGATGACATTGTTTACCTATTAATACATATATGAGTATTCTCAAATAGATACTGAATCTTTTGAGACTCACAACCATTCAGAGACTGGTATCAAGATCATGTATGTTCTGTACAAGAAACAGGTTGAGCCAGGTTAAGTTGCTTGCCCCAAATCCCTTAGCCAGAACAGAACCAATGCCTAAATCCGGCTTCAACGCCCCTATTTCATGGTGTTTGCTTATAATCCTGTCATGATTGGCTCCTGTCCCTTGCATCTTATTAAACAACCAATGAAGGTACAGGGAAGGGAGGACAAAAGTTTGTTAAAAACATGATATAAGCTATTGATGTGCTCAGAAATAGTATCCAACAATGTGATTCCTAAATACTCTAATTTTGGTTTTAGAATTTAAGATGTTTCTAATCACCATTAAAATCTTTTTATTTTTTGTACTGGGGATTGGATCCAGGGGCACTAAGCTACATTCTCATCCCTTTTTTTGTATTTTATTTAGAGAAAAGGTCTCAGTAAGTTGCTTAGGGACTTGCTAAGTCGCTGAGGCTGGCTTTGAACTCTCGATACTCCTTCCTCAGCCCAAGTTGCACTGTACCTGGTACCACTAAAATCTTGAAAAATATTTTCTTTTTTATTTTATTAACATCTTTATTTACTTATTTTTTAATGTGGGGCTGAGGATCAAACCCAGGACCTCATGCATGTGAAGCAAGTGCTTTACCACTGCTTTACCCAGCCCTTGAACAGTGTTTTTTAATATATTTTTTAGTTGTAGTTGGACACAATACCTTTATTTTATTTATGTTTATGTGGTGTTGAGGATAGAACCCAGGGCCTTACACACCCTAGGCTAGAGCTCTACTGCTGAGCCACAACTCTAAACCCTGAAACAGTGTTTTTTGTAGATCGTGTGAAGATAAATTTTTATGTTTACATGGCCCATTTAAAAATATAATAGGAAAAAACCCTGTTTAAAGATAAGTTAATTATATATCTAGTCCTATTTTGATAGAGCAGATAGTGTATGAGCATTTTTTTTTTTTTAAAAAAGGGCAAAACCATGGCCATCTTTTAAAAACTATAATGAGTCAGGTGTGGTGGCTCCCACCTGTAATCCTAGCTACTCAGGAGGCTGAGTCAGGAGGATCACATGTTTGAGGCCATCCTGGGCAAATTAGCCAGACCCTGTATCAAAATTTAAAATGCAAAGGAACTGGGGGTGTAGTTCAGTGGTACTACATTCCTGGGTTCAATCTCCAGTACTGTAATAATAATAATAATAAAAAATTTGAATTAAAAGCTATACTGAGTAAAAAAGTGGAACAATGACAATTTTAATGCAATTTTAATGCTACTGGCAGCAGGTCTGCTGCTTTGGGAGGTGTAGCCCCAGTCTAAGTGGTGCCACAGGTCTTCTGCCTTATGCAAATCTGCTGTCCCATACCTCAAAGATCTGATCTGGCATAGCTTTAGAACAAGGGCAAGTAAAGAAAAATGAGCACAAAAGAGAAAAAGGGTCCAAGTAAAGAGGCTTACTTCATCTGAAATTCAAACTAGGTAACAACACACTGTTCACTTAGGTTCAGTTATTATTTTTATTGATAAGCATACAACTAGCACACCTGTTTCAGTGGGGTTTCTGGCTAGTAATTTTGTCAAATGAAGTGCCTTAATAATATGTTCAAACTAATTTTAAACCTCAATAGCTTTGATCAAAATACCATCATTTGACCACGTGAAGAGGGAGAATATACAGTATATAAAAAAGTTTCGGGGCTTGGGATGTAGCTCAGTAGTAAAGCCTTTGCCTAGCAAGCATGAAGCCCCAAGTTAGACTCTCAGCACTGAGAAAAAAATGAAAGTTTCGAATATTAAATTTTACAGAGTTAGGGCTCTGGTCTCCTTAAAGAATCACTGAGACACTGAAACAACAGTTCTGACTATGTACAGGAAAACATCATTAGACTAGTGCTTCTCCAAAGATGGCCCAGGATCTGATGGAAGTACCAGCATCAAAGCAGCCTGTTAAGAAGCAAATTCTCGAGGCTCAACCCTTAGCTACATAATGAGAATCAATGAGGATGGGGTCCAAAAGTCTGTTGAACAAAGTCTCCAGATGATTCTTTTGTGCACTAAAGTTTGCAAAGCACTGATTTAGACCATCATTTGTCAAATTGCAGATTACAATCCATTAGTGGGTTGAGCAATCAATTCAGGCAGTGACTAGCATTTTACAAAAGTGAAACAAAACAGAATAGAAAAGGTAGTGAATCCCAAGTAGCAGGAGTAGTGTAACATTTGTTTCATTTCTACGTATATGTGTATATTCATAGGTACTTTAAATTTTTGAAGAACTGATAGGGTATGATAAAGAAGCTACTAATTCTAAGTGAAGTTAGAACTGCTGGGTTGACTATAAAACATACTGTCATTTTTATGTGGATTAGTACTTGGAGAGAGAGATAAGATGGTTGAAAAGCAAAGAAAGAGGGCCAAGGAAAGAACAGAGAAGGCCAAAGTTTTATACTCCAGAATCTTTATGGGAAAAATAAAAAGTTCCATCCAGAGAGGAGATAGGAGGTGAGCCCACCACATGGGAGATATTAAGGAGAATAAGAACATGGTGAAATTCATGAGTGACCTTTCAAATAATTTTAGTAGGACTGGTGAAGATGGATACAGTCAGTCACTCATGCATTCATTTACTGAACATTTACTGTACTGTCATAGGTGCCGGGTACTGTGTTGTGTTGTGTGTGTGTGTGTTGGGGCGGGGCTACAGACATCAATTTATCTAGCCACTGCTTAGCAACAAGACGTTTAACAATAACA